TTTTTGAAAAATACCTTCTTTTTTCTCGTCTAAACGGACCATCGGGTCAAATTCAAGTTAACATACGTTAAGTTGGTTTTGAAATTTAACGATCAGCCAGTGAACGAGTGACTGAGTGGTATTTCAAATTTATATATACGGATTACGGCTTGCATAATATACTAAATTAGATTCTAGTTAAAACGATTGAAAATACATTATAATGGGTAAAATATTTAACACATTTAATTAAATGCTAGCTTATGCATAATAATATTGTTAAATAATATTTTTGTATATATTTCAATAAAAGTTATATCTTTCTCATTTTATTGTAAACATTTTTATAACGCCATCATGGTAGAATGAAACTAAAAGACATATTTCTTTAGTGATACTTAATGGTTAAGTGTTAGTTCTCTATTTCTTATAACCATAAGACGTTTTCTTTTTTTTTATTTCAATTACAAAGAAAAGCGTTCGGTTGGACTGTTAACGGCCATCTGTTGGAATACAAATAAAAATACGATTGAAGACAAGTTTAATGTCTACACCGTAACATACTTTTAATTTTATGTAACCTTTATATTATTTATACATCACTTGAAATTTATTATTATTATTTTTTTTTTTTATGTAGTATACTTACATAATATAGAATATAAGTATATATTTTTTGAAAAACCCTTTTCAAAGATCTACTATAAAATGGAGATTAACTCCATATCCATAGTATATATACGAAGAAATTAAAAAATATTACACAAATAACGTCATTATTTCTATGGTTCTATTTTTAATCAATCTGAAATAATAAAATATTTAAGTTAAAATTGCAGTTACATAGGTACATACCGTATACGTAATGTAATTTTTTAATGTTTACAATCAAAAACCATCAAAGCTCTTATAAGCATGCTTATTTAACACTTAACACAATATATAATAATATATTAATATTTCTGTAGACTGCAAAGTAATCAAAACTCATTATATAAAGGCTTTAACAGTCGTCCTAGAAACCACACAAATCTACTTGTCAAATAAGTTTGTCCAAAAACTTTCCGGAAAATCTTCAAGAAAGATTAAATAGACAGTGCAGTCATGATCTACTATTGTAAAAGCAGTAATCCATTGTAAGTATAGTATATTTTTGTAAGTAATTAATTTCGATGTTCCTCTGCTGGAAGCAGGATTCTACACTCTGCCAAACACGCCATGTGTACATATAAATCACTGTATTCACCCATTATTTAAATGAACACAAAATTTATAGCTAAAAGTAAAAATATAAGTAAAAAGTAAAGAGTGAAGTAAAAATATATGTATCATATTCAATTGGTTATTAATTGTTTATTTATTTATGTTTTTTTTTTTTAACTTTATTGCTTTTTATTAATTTACTTATCTAATACAATTATGATACAGATTTTCGCCAACGAAAAACATCAAATGCAATAATATAACAAACCAGTTATTTGCAGTCAGTGATTTACATACATTTTTTTTAATTGTAAAATTAGTTAAATAACAATTTACAAACTAAAAAGCCACATGATAAAAAAAGAAAGATATATAATAAATGTGGAGAACATCTGATTCGAATAAACATATGTATGAACAAAAATGTAATAAAATAAATTGTTAGGAAAACAAATGATGATCTAGAGGCAGAAATGTTGTCGATCTGGAGCACACATTTATAATAAAGATAGGATATGGGATGCAGCCAAATAGGGCAATAAAAAGACGGCGTAGAACTCGTGGAATTTCACATTATAAAAAATATGCATTTTAATTAAATTTAAAATGTCAGAATGTTGGTATTTTATTCAAATGTATTATTCATTATAAAATTATAATATACAATAATAATATACGTATATATAATTAATTGAATCGAATTAATCGAACTTGTTTATCTTCAAGTCATTGTAAATAAAATTGTGTAAAAAAAGCGTTAACCTCAATTACGTAAATTAATTTCTTATTCGTTGTATCCATATAAATAATAACAAATGTAATTTCTATCCTAAAGTGTTACAATTTTAAAATTAGAGGAATACCACGATTACATAGAAATGTATAAGAAACATTGGCCATAAGCCCATTAATTGAATTTTCCAAGGTTAAATGTTAAGCAGTCAATACTGAAACACGCTTTACGTAGTACGAAAATAAAAATGTGCAATACGAAATTAAAAAATGTTTATTATTAAGCTTAAATATGTTGGTAATATCAATATTTTTGCCAATTTATTTTACGTATTAAATTAGTTATATTAGTTATAAGGTAATTTTTAATTAACCATAATAATTTATAATATATATATATATATCACTTGAATTACTACGATTAAGTATATATTTCCATACTTAAATGAATACTAAAATTAAAGCATAGGTATATTTTTTATCCGTAATGGAACATAATTATATATATAGATGTGTGTGTATACACATATAATTTAATAGTTGTTTTAGTTTTAAAATAATAAAAACCTGATTTGATATAAAACGTTTTAAAATTATCATATAAATTAATAACAAATTTATAGTAATAGCCTTAGATAAATATTCCATTATTGTTTTGTTTGTATAGTATATAGTGTCCGTTAATAAAAATAAACATAAATTTATACTTTTCAAAGATTTTTTTTTTTTTCATTTTAACAGAGAAAATTGAAAAATATTTAGGTGCAATTTATGATCTGAGTACATAACACGTACAACTTCTGAAACTTATTACTATTCGAGGAAATGTTACGGCGCATCGTTGAATTACATTTAGAATTACAAACGTTTACAATACTCAGAGTTTAAAGCGGTACGTTATCTATGTTTTAATTAGCTTAAGTGTTTCCTCTAAGTATATGTCACGGTCAGTGAAAACCGGAAACAACGGGCAGCTTTTGCGAAAACTGAAGCTCTTAGGAAAAAAAAGGACAAGGACAAATGTACAACAACACATGTCTAAAATATTTTGTAAACGCAGTGTAGTCGAAGAATTTCAAAATTAAAAGTTAGACCGACGGTCCAATACTGGCAAAGCCTCGAAATCGTTTACAAGCTTGCGTGGTCGGACCGGTCGGATTAAAATGTGTCGTTCGAGTACAAGCACCGGTAAAGCCGAGTGTATTCGGAATAATACGGTTTTCACGATAACGGTAACGGCTTAGACGCGTCCAATATCGATTCTATTGATACGACCCATCGACGTGATCATCCGTTTCGTCCGGGGTCGTTATTGGCCGCGTACGCGTCCCGGAAAAAGTGAACCGCGCACCAAGAGGAGAGGAAAATGTGTGTCCGGCGGTGAGCGGGTGCGAGCAACACACAACCGCGTACACGGTTACATTATCGAACACGTAACGTTCGTAACGGGATAGACGATAGGAACGACGCGCGCACCATTGTTCGTTTCGTGAAAACCAATACGTCCCTCGCGCCCCGTCCCCGGAACGTAGAAAGGTTCTCGAGGGGAGCATTTACAGCCGTCTAACGATTCGGTAACGGCCGCCAGCGCTGGGCGATAAACAAACGCGTCGCCGCCAACAAGTATCACGCGCACGTCTCGTACGTTGCCGCGTGAACGCGCGATTTTCGACGCGTCCGCAGTGAAACAACCGCGAATAACGCGCGTTTGCCGACGTTCACGCATAACACGTACCCGAACACCGCTCTTTTATGTGCTATGGTATTTATTTATCGTATTTACTTAATATTATCCATTATCTTTTGAGGGACTGGTCGTACCGCCGTCGGCGCTCGACAAGTCCCCGACGACATTAACAACAACAACAACAGCAACAACAACAACAAAAACACGGTAAACACTCCGCGCGGACTTAGTGCTGCGCACACGTCCTCGTCCGCCCGTACGACGTACACGCGCGTTCTGACGTGTACACTTTCCTATCGGTTCCGTTCCGCATCGCTTTCGGTCGCAGCGCGCGTACGAGCACGCGCGATTTTCTCTCTTCCGCTCGTTACCGCCGCACAAACTCGTTTCCCCGTCTCTTTTGCACCCGCTCTCGCTCTCGCTATCGCGCCGCGTACTCGTTGCCCGTCTCTTTTGCACCCGCCCTCGCTACGTGTGTAATACGCGTGCCAAAGGTTCGTTACGCGACCGGGAACCTCGGCGGAATCGGAAAAATGAAAATAAAAAAGAAAAAAATTACAGACCACCGAGAGCACTTCTCCCGGTGCTCGTGTTTACGACGGGAAAAAAAAAAAAAAAAATTAAAAAACGTCTGCGACCGCCGTCGACGTGAGCGTCGGCGAAAAAAAAACCTCCGCCGTTCGCCTCTACATATGGACATGTTCGGTATTTGATGAGGAACGACCACGGTCCTATATTATTTTCATTATTATTATTATTATTATTATTATTATTATTGTAGCAGTCGACGCGTACGTGCGTGTGCGTGCGCACGTATCGGTTAGTGGTAACGGTGGGGGACACCGCGGCGGCGGCCGCCAGTTGGGCGCCAACCGACACGAGATCGTTTTCCCCGTCCCCACTCCACCCCCCC